ATGGAGACCAAGGCCCCTCACACACTGGGGGACCTCCTACCGCCCAGGAGAGAAACTGGAGAAAGTGCCCCTCCAGCTTTCTGCCTCTCCGGGTCAGCAGCAGAAACCAGAGGCTAGAACCTGCTGAACCAGAATGCCCAGGAGCAGGCGAGGGGCGGGGCCTCTGCACCAAACAAAGAACCTGAGCAGGTGGGGAGGAGAGCCAGGGGTGGGTCAGGAGCCAGGCAGCCAGGGGGAGAGGCCTGTGGAGGCTGGACTGTGCCCAAGGCCTGGGGCTGATGAGGAGGCAGGGCTACCCCACCCCCTCACCCCTGGAGACTGGAGGCTGGAGAGGAGCCAGTGCCCCACCCAGACCACCCACCCACCCACCGACCGACCCAGGCAAGACCAGCAGGGCTGCCCTAGCCTGGTGCAGCCCAGAGGATGATGGGTAGGTTCCTCCCAGCCAGGCTCCCTCTGCTCTCCTCCAACCCTGTCCTTCCACCATCTCCAAAGCCTCTCACACACACCACCAATGCCCACCCCCGCAGCCTGGTCCCACTGTGGACCACGGCCCCTGCTGCAGACCCAGTCCCCACAGCGGCCCACTCTCAGGGCTCATCCTGTACTTGCTTGGAGAGCGCTGTTCCTGGAACAGAGCTGGGTTGGGCTAGTTTGTTTACTGGGGGTCAAGCACAGCACCCCACAGGGCCGGTTCTTCTGCGCCTCCCTGCCTTTTGCTGGGCCCTGCGAGGAGCCTGCACCTCCAGACTCTGGCGTTTCCACCGGAGTCTCACTGCCCAGTGCTTGGAGCGCCCTGGGCAGATTGGCAGGAACTGGCTCCTGCTCACCTCCAGCCCCCTGCCTGGTGCTGCTCAGTGAGGGTCTGATCAGAACCTCCGGATCTAGGCCAACAAAGGGGCTGCCTGGGCACTCGGGGAGGGGCCTCAGGCCACACTCCTTTCCCAGGCTGCAGCTACCTGCTCCACCCAAGCTGCCGCCCAGAGCGAAGGGCATGGCTCCACCAGGCCACTCCTGCTCCTTCCCATTCAGCAGTGGCCATGGGTGGAACAGCCCTTTGGACAGCAAGTCCCCATGGTACACCCAGGAACTCTGTCCTGGCAGAGTCCACACCCTCCCGGTCTGGGGGACAGCCACCTCCGAGGCTCCTCCCTGGGGAGACTGGCTGCTATTCTGTGCCTTCCCCGAGGAGCACTTCCACGTCTGCACTCAAACAGCACAGCGGAAGCCGAGAGCAGCCTGGCGCAGGCGGGGCGGGGCAGGGCAGGAGCTCCTCCTGGAGAGCGGATTTCCCAGGCCCTGAACAGCCTAATGAGCTGGGGACTCATTAACGCTGGCTCCCGTGACTGTTCCTGGTGACCTCGGAGGGGGCTTGCTCAGAGACAACTCTGGGGACACTTGGTGAGCCCCGAGTCAGCCTCCAGGAGGGCATATAGATTAGGTGCCAGGTGCCCCATGCAGATGACCTCAGATAACCCTTCTGGGTAGGTGTGATTACCCTATTGCCCAATAGGAAAACAGGCCTGGAAAGAGAAAGCAGAGGGGCCGGAAGTCCCACAGAGAGGGCAGAGTCTAGACAGGCGGGCAGGTCCTTCCTGCTCCTGAGCAGGAGAGCCAGGGCAGGAGGAAGGCCCGTGTACAGGGCAGCCCATAGGCTCTGCTGGAGAGGGGCACGAGACTCACCCTCTGCTGCTCAGGCTCCCACCCAGCTGATGGTTGCAAGGCCCGGGCCAGATCGAGGGTCCTGCACCCTGTCCGAGGGCCCTGCCTTGTGCTGTCTGGAGACTGGAAGGGGCCGGTTCTCCTCGAGGCTCCTCAACTCCTGGCTCCATAGAAAAGCCTGGGCCATTCCTGTTTCTTCCCCTCGACCTCCTCTCATGGTGACCGCCCCCACCCCCACCCACCCCCACTCCCCGCCCAGCAGATCCCACTCGCCCTTCTGGTCACCCCTCTTCCAGGAAACCACCCAGGTGCTCGAGCCACACAGCACGCTGGGGCGCAGTCTCCGAGTCTGCCCGGGCTGGGCGTGGGGCTCGGAAGACGGCTCCTGTGGATTCTTCGCAGCCCGGCCTGGAACCTCATCCCACATTATCAGGAACCGCTTGCCCTCTCAGGGCCAGGTCCGGCCCACAGGCCTCCCTGGGAGCAAGGCCCCAGAGCCCCGGGCCAGGTCCACCGGAGCTGACTCAGCACGGATGCTCAGCCTACGGGCTAACTCTTGGCAGCTGTTTCTCCGCCCCCCCCCCTTCCCTCGGCTCCCTCAGAGGCCAGGGCCCCATTCATTTGTCTCGTTAAGAGGCCTATAGAAACACATTTGTCCGCTCTGCGCTTCACTGCTCTGGTCGTCAATTCTCTGGGGCGCCTGCCCTACCTTCTGCAGAAGCTCTGCCCGTTTGGCCACTTGCCCCTGGCTAGGAGCCTTCCAAACTCAGCCGAGCCTGGCCTCCATGGGGGGACACATCCACAAGGCTGTGCAACTTAAGGCAGGCCTGTGGGGCACACCCTGCCTCCCCGGCCTAGGCCACCACAGCCCCTGCCACCCCTCCCAGCCCCACTCCACGGTTCACTGCTGGTGAGGAAAGCTCAGCTTCCTCGAACTCTATATTGACTGAGGAAGGATTTCAGTTTCCTCAGCTAGTTCCTGCCTTCAAGACCCAGGTCACTGGTCCTCAAAGGAGCACAGCCTGGCGCTTCCTCGACTCAGCTCCCAAAATTGTACTTCCGACCCCCCAAATCCCTGCAGGAGGCCTGGGCCCCAACCTGACCCTTGGGGCTCACCGGCCAACGGGCTCGACACACCAGACGAAGACGGTCACACTGCCATCAGGAGTGCAGAGGAACTGCACGTGACCCTAGCCAGGGATCAAGCAGGCTCCCGGAGGAAGCGATGGTCTCAGGTGAGCCAGAACCGGGCAGGTAAAGGGAATGGCCTTTCTGAGCCGCCTCCTCCATTAGCTCAGTTCCTGGTCTTAAGCTTTCCCGAAACTCCCTGGACGCAGCCATGGTTTGTTATGAATGTGTGTGCACACTTATGACTTTTCCCACTTTTTTTTTTGGAGATTAATAGTTGCTTCCCCACCTGGAAAATAACCCTGGGCAGAGCCCGTGTCTGCCCAGCTTCCTGCCCTGCCCAGTGCCTGGCATGTCTGGAAGGAATGAATTCACACAGGGCGGCCAGAGGAGGATGGAGACCGAGGCCCCTCACCCACTGGGGGACCTCCTACCGCCCAGGAGAGAAACTGGAGAAAGTGCCCCTCCAGCTTTCTGCCTCTCCGGGTCAGCAGCAGAAACCAGAAGGGCACCACACCCGGGGCGTGGCGGGGGTTTGACAGAGGAGTGCACCATCAGGCTTTCCTTCCGAAACAGAACTCGGACTTGGCGTTGGAGAGTGGAGAGTGAACCACGAGGGAAGAGACTGGAGGCTGCGCGTGAAGCCCAAGCCTGAGCTGAGAGGGGCGGATGAAGGCGGAGGGGAGAGGCGTGGACGCATGCCCGGGATGTTTAGAAGATAGAAAGCAAGGACCCTGGTGATGGAGGAGATGTGGGGGACCCGGGCCTCTGACTCAGGTGGCCGGTGGATGGGAGGGAGAACCACTGCAGAGAAGCAGGGGTGGAGTGGGGTGGGGGTGCAGGCCGGGGCATGCTGCGTCTGAGGCGGAAGGGGGAATGTGGGTGCTCTCCTGCCTGACGCAACCACACCTGCGGAGAATCTCCCACCCTAGGAGGGTCCCTGAAGGCCCACGCTCTCCCTCGGCCTAAAGATCACTCACCTTCCCCCACCTGCCCTCCAGGTTCCATTGGCTTGCTCAACCCTCTCCCTGGGGGCACTGAGGTGCCCCCAGCACCTCCCACCCCATAACCTGGGGAGACTGCCCTCCCTTCCCCCTTCCCTTCTGGCTCCACCCAGAGCCCAACCTTTGAGGACAAAGGGCGGGGCTGTTTCAGTCCCACCAGCCTCCAGGCTCTGGTCCTGAATAATTAATAAAGAGCCATTAGGAGCCAGGGCGTGAGTGGGGCAGAAGGAGAGATCCAGAGATCCAGCCCCGACTCTGGCGTGGGGGTGGGGAGGGCCTGCTGAGCCCCAGGCTGACCCCTGGGTTGGCCCTTGGCTGTCCCAGGGCTCTGGTCAGACTGGAACGGCCCCTTCCCCCAGGGACCTTGGCTCCAACCTTGTCCCTCCCCCTCGGTCTGCAGATTGGCTAAATCTGCCCTGTGCCCCGCCTCCCACCAGTAACCAAGCAGTGGTAACCATGGCGATGGGGCGGCTGCGGCCAGTCTTATAGTACCGGGCTGGGGGAAGGACAGCGGGAAAGGGACCAAAGTTGGGAGTTGGATCTGACGGGCAGCCCCCTTCCAATTCTCAGGACTGAGATGTTGGTGGAGAGGGCGTTGCCCCCCACCCCACCCCCCACGACCTGAAGCTCCCTAGTGAACAGGGAAGGAGAGGCTGTGTCACTACCCTTGGAGGGAGGGGCTCGCCAGGGAGAGAGGTGTGAATGGCTCTGGCTTCTGAGCCCACCCTGGAGCCGTGGACACTTCTGACATCCCAGTCCCATGTCCACACCTCCATCCCGGCCACGGCTCCCACCACCTCGGCACACAGCTGTAATGGTGGACACAGCACAGCCCAGGGCACAACACACACTGACTACAGAAAGGTGTCGCAGCCCGGCCACACACAACAGTCATGCTTCCATATGCCCCAGCCTGGGCTGCAGGGACACACACCACTGGGGACTCCCAAGAAGCAGTGGGGCCGGGGTATTTCCTGGAGGTGGTGGTGAGGAAGCAGGGCTGTCCAAGCAAGGGTCTCTGTAGGATGGAAGGTGGTCATGCACTCGTGTGTGTGTGTGTGTGTGTGTGTGTGTGTGTGTGTGTGTGTGTCTGGCTTACCCCGTCTCTAGTCATATAGGTCCTTTCCTTCCTCCTGGCATATCCCCCCTGGGAGCAATACCACCTCTTGCCCTAGGAGACCCTGCACCTTGAGGGGTTAGACTTACTGTCGCCGTGGGTGCCTGCCACCAAGCCGAGCACCACAAGTGCAGGCACAAGGGGCACCATCGTCCTCCCTGGGGCTGGCTTAGGGGCCATCCAGGGCTCCCGCACCACAGCCTGACTCAGCCCAGGACAGTTGGACCTGTGATAGAGAGAAGGACAGAGCTAGTTAGCTGAGGCCCACCATGTCACCTCCTGACCCCCGCACCTTGTTCACCAGACCTCCGGATCTGGGGGCCACCCAGGCTCCTCACTGACCCTCCAGAGACAAGGCTGACCCAGCAGGCCCGCTGAGTACAGGTCACTCTTCAAACTCCACAGGAGACTGGGAGGCGATGGAGACGCGGAGATCCCCACCCCAGACACTGAGGTTCCAACTCTTCCCCCATGGAAGGAGATGGCAGGAGAAGGGGCCAGGGTCAGCCACGCACAGGTGAGACCGGAAAAAGACAGTGAGAGGCAGGGAACAGGGAGCAGGCAAAGTGAGGGCCTCCCTCTGCCTCCCCTCCCCCCAGCAGGCCCCGGAAGCTGAGCACAGGCCCGGGAGCAGGCTTGCTAGCAGCCAGGTACCCAAGGCCAGAAGCCAAAGCCACAATCCGCCCAGGCTCGCCAGGACGCGCTCTCAACAAGCTGCAGTTGCCCCACCAGGCACCCTCTTCCTACCCAATTCCCATGGCACCTTCCCACTCCAAAGGGGAGCCACGGGGAGGCCCTAGGGTTCCACCCCCCAGCCAGTCTGCCCTTGCTGTCCAAGCCCCAAGCAGCCGGTCAAGGGGTAGGAAGGGCGGGGTGCAAAGTGCAGAGGCTGCTGTTCCTGATGTGTGTGCGCTCCCGGGGCTCCTCTGGTGGGCGTGCATGTCTGTCATTCCCCCACCTGACCCCAATGGTGAGCTTTACAGGGTCGCACTCCAGGTGAGCACAAGTGCCCCCAGCTCTGCTCACACCTGATGCCCCCCAGGCCGGACTAAGCCCCCAGGAATGCTCTGAGTATACAGCAGTGTGGGGAGGAGAGTGGTGGCCCCCAGCAGGTGAACATGGAGGAGCAGGGCTCAAGGGTGGCCCTGATCCTTCTCGGAAGAGAACCAGTGCCTCAAGTGGGACAAAGGTCACGGGGTCAGAGGTGAGAGGCACCATGGTGCTGGGCAAACAGGCGGGGGGCGAGGAAGTGGGGGCAAGAGCTGAACACAAAGGGAGACATTCCCTGCCCCAGGAGCTGAGCAGCAGAAACCAGAAGGGCACCACACCCGGGGCGCCACTCAGAGATCTCAGAGCTCAGGGACCGACACGGGAGAGTCACCACCTGAATGACCTGCACAGGAGGCCTCCGACCACATACCACCAAGGCCTGGGGGCATGGCCACCCTGGCACCGTGTGCTGCCATGCAGCCAGCCTGAGAATCTAACTTCCTAGCAGGCACGAGGTTGTGAGCAGCCGGGCCTAGCTTATGAAGGGTTCCCAGACACAGGAAGTCCTGGTGATGCCATTGGCTAAGGGGTGGACTGCTAACTGGAAGGTCCTGGGTTCAAACCCACCAGCTGCTCCACAAGAGAAAGATGGGGCAGTCTGCTTCCCAAATGACTTACAGCCTCAGAGATTCCACCGAGGCTGCCTGAGGCGAACTGACTTAATGGCAGTGGCCGGAGTTGGTTAGCTTGGTCCTCTGACACCACCCTGCAGCCCCTGGTATAGGTGTCAGGTTTATAATTCAGCAGTGTGTGGCACCAAACAGCAAGGGGGACCATGGCTTAGTATAGACACCTCTGGGGTCTAAGCTTTAGCTCTGGGTTGGCCAACTACAGCTCTTTCGGTTCGCACACGTGGCTGAAATAAAACTGCAAAGCTTTTTAAAGGGTATTATTTAGATAATGGTGATTTCATTTGTTTGTGAAAACATATTTATGGCTCTCGAGAAAATGTTAAATCGCTGAGGGACAGGATTGGCTCTCCCATCTCCACCGTTTGCTGAGCCCTGCTCTCGCTGAGTATGCACGTGGCCCTCACCTCCAGGTAGGAGCCCCTGGGTGGTGCACAGGGTTCACACGCTCGGCTGCTCACTTCCAGGGGCGGTGTGAGTCCGGTGAAGGCCTAGTGATGCACCCCCCAAACCAGCCATCAGAACCCCTCTGGGGCACAGCTTGACTCTGACATGGACTGAATAGCAACGGTTCCTAGATTTTGTTTCTAAATCTCCCAAGGCAGACACCTTGTGGCAGTTACGTCATCTGTCAACTTGAGCGAAGGGGTGGAGTCTAGCCTGACACCAGGTCGCTTGATGAATTCATTTGGAGATGCGATGGAGATAAACAGCTCACTGGAGGCCAGACCCACTCTCTCTGCCTTCCCTTTCCTGCTGCTGAGACACTCAGAGAGCCAGGGTGACATGTGGAGACCCATGTCAGTGTTGAGATGCTTCCACTGCCACTGGATCCACAAGACCCACTGACCTGTGGTCTTCCAGCATTCGGTAGCATTGTATGTGCTACATTGAGTCTAAAGAGTAATTTGTGGACTAGTGTCGGACATGTAGGCTAATAACGGACTTATGGACTTGATCTGAACTGGGCTGGGCTGTTTTCTCAACATACAATTTCTCTTTTATATAAAGCTCTTTCTTACACAAGAGTATCAATAAATGTGTTTCTCTAGTCAACCTGAACTAACACAACCTCTCAACACAAGCCTCACATCACGGAGGGGGGCAGGGGGCAGGGAGGCACACCTGCATAGCACACTCTTCATGGGGACTAACTCCCAGCTTGGCTGTCAGAGGCTTAACCCCTTGCAGCTGCCCTGGCACAGTAGTCATAGCAGTGTCCCCTCTGGGTTCCAACACCAGATGCACACAGAGGACAGGCATCCATGGCTGTGCCGAGGAGGGCATTAGAGAGGGTGTGACGTCCCAGGCCAAACAGAGAGGTCCAACTCCCTCCTACAGAAGACATGGATCAGTCTCTGTATTCGAAGGACCCAAAGGGTTAAAACTCCCAGAGGTCCAAGTGGTATCATCTGGGATAAGAGTCCAGTCACGAGGGTCGGAGAACCCCAAATGGAGTAGCCCCCTTCCCCTCTCATCTCTTTTTGGCACAGGGACTGTGGATTCTTTCCATCTTCTGATGCTTCCTCCATCATTCAGTCGCTTGCCCATAGGATCTGACGATACTGCCACTCAAGGTCTGAGTTCTGTCTTAGTTCTTGCAGTTGGCCGTGTTGTCAGGAGAGACCACCGGTCCCTGGACAAGGACGAGATGCTTGGGCAAGTGGAGTGGCAGTGGAAAAGAGGCAGGCCCTCCCTCGTGCGCTGGACTGACGCCGGGGCTGCCTCGACGGGCTCAAGATGAGAACCAATGACAGGAGGCGCAGCCCCGGGCAGCGTTTGGCTCTGTTGTGCACAGGGTCACTCTGAGTGCCTACGAACTCATTGGCACCTAACCACTATACTCGCCCCCCACCCCCCACCCCTAGTGAGACACAGACAAGTGGCTCATACTGGGGGACCCCAAGGTCTCCCCCTTGGACCTCAGGAAACGTCGTTCAGATCCAGAAATCAGGGCAATGGTGGAGAACCTGAAAACAAACTGGGGAAGACCCCAGGGGCTCACGGACCCAGGGACGCGGGGAGAAACAAGGGGCCCACGCAACCACGGACACTCTCAGGCATCGCTCTGGTCACTCCACAGCTGCTGGGAAGGGGCTCCCTCTCTCTCACGGGCTCCTGCCCACCTGCCTAAGACTCCCTCCCAGGGACAGAGTATGCCCAGAGTCAGGCAGCTCAGGTCACTCCCGGCTCAAGGGCCTCCCTGGCTTGCCAGAGACTTGTGAATCGAGCGGAGCAGTGTTCAGGGCAGGGTGTCCGTGCTGCCAGCATGGCTGGCCGAGCCTGGGCTTTCCAGGAGTGTGAGAAAAACAAGGCCCGGAACAAGCTGAACACCAGGCTCATCTCAGAAGTGCACCGAGGACCATCGAGTCTCCCAAACTGACATACTTGGGCAGGAAAACAATTACGTACTGTATGATACTATAGAGGATAATTGAGTGCAATTTCTCTACATTCAAAGTGGCTTTAATATATCCTTTTCCTCTGCTATGCCAGGGCAAAGCTGCCTTTCTTGGGAAGAACTGTCCTTTATTCTCAAAATCTGTCCTTGGTGTTAAAATGCCCTTTCTTGTATGAAATAATGGTGATAGCAGATAGCAGTTGTTGTTGTCTTAATAATACCCTTACTTGGCAAAATAAAAAACTGCCAACCCCATGTCTGGCCCCCAAGTACTTTTGGAAACTGTACGAGTTGGTGAAATCTAAGAGTCTGAACTACTGCTTTGAGGGGAAAAGGTAGGGCCGGGCTCCACCAAGTTTTGGGACTCGTCGCAGACAAACGTCACGGAAAATGCTTGTTACCCAGAAGCCTTGTCACCTCCATGCGCCCAGCCTAACCACCCCTGGGCCACCTCGACGGAGGGGAATCTGAGGAGCTATGTGATGCCAGAGATGGGGAGGGGGGTCCCTGGCTGGAGAACAGCTGGGATCATTCCCGAGTCCTCCTCATGAATATGCAAACACAGATTGATTTGTTTCCCTTGGGCATGCGTTATTCTTCACAAATATTAATTAGTCTCCACATACCACCTGTTCACATAGCTTCCTCCCAGCTCCGCCCTGCTCCCCAGGCCAGGACCCTGACCTCCCAGGAGGCTGGGGACCAGAAATGGACACGGGCACGAGGTGGTAACCAGGGCCCCAGAGAGTGCGGGGGCCGAGGGGAGAGGCCAGTGCCTGGGCCTGAGGGCCTCGAGGGCGGGTGTGTGAGAGCCGTCCCCCTTCTAACCAGTGGGCAGCTAACCGAGCCCTTTGTCATGTCCTGGACTGCGGCAGCGGAGGCGGAAGAAACAGGCCTTGTTACACTTGGGAAAGGAAAACCAACGTGTTTCCAACTCTCACCAAGCCAGCCGCTGGATTATGACGGGAATACATCACAGGCTCAGTCACGACCCCAGCCCCAGGGAAGGAGGCAGCGGGCGCAGAGGGCCGGCCCAGGCTCTCTCTACTTGGGAGAACACAGCGAGACACAGACCTCCCTGCAGCAGCTGGCAGTGGGTCTCCCTCCAGCCAGATTGCACCACCCCCTGTACCCCCTCAGCTTTTGTCACCCTGGGGAGGGGAAGGGGTGACCCAGGAAGGCAGGCCCGGCAGAAGGAGAATCCTGGAGCCTCTGGGTGGCGCACAGCAGAGGCCCAGCTCCGGGGGCAGATGATCAGCTGACGGACCAGCAGAAGCACCTGCTACAGCGGCCGCCCGAGCCCTCGGCCAGACTTCCTATGGAGGCAAGAACCGGTCTGGTTTAAGGCTTGTGAACTCGGCAGCCGTCAGGCCTCTGCGATGTTCTCTCCAGTGGAAAGAATGCCCTCCTCCTGCCTCCAGCCACCCACTCGCCCTGCAGGACTCGGCTCGAGTGGCCCACCACTGTGAAGCTCACCCTGCTATCAGGTCCCCTCCCTGTCAATCCAGACTTGTGTAGCACAAGGAACGCAGCAAGAAGAGGTGGTGCAGGCCGGTGGTCCTGGGTGCAGGGCGATTTTGCCCCCCATGGGACATGAGGGGCTATCCAGAGGCCTTTTCTATGGCCAAGGCGGGGGTGGGCGGCACTACTGGCATCTGAGGCACAGTGACTCCGTCAGACAGAGCAGAACTGCCCTGTAGGGTTTCCTAGACGAATCTTTACAGGGGGGTGGGGGGTGCCAGGACTTTGTCCCTGCGGAGCAGTGGGTAGGTTGGAAGGGCTGACCTTTGAGCTAGCAGCTGAGTACTGCATCCCTGCGCTGCCAGTGGGAAGAAACCAGAGATGGTGCTAGACATCGCATGCATGCACGCGGGCACGCCACAACCAAGACCAGCCCAGTCCAAAACGTCAATGATGCCAATGCTGAGAAACTCCAGTGTTGATGACGACATGGCCAACCCCACCAACCCACCCACCCACCCCGTCTATCCCCTGCAATTGCCCCGGCCCATACCCAAGGGGGCCCCAGCCAGGCTTGACTCTGTCTTCTAAAATGTTCATTTCCTTATTTGTTGTTGAGAACACAACAGGGCTTTAAAAGTGTGGTGGGAAAAAAATCCACTATCTTTCCATGCGATTCTTCCACGAACAGCCAAACGCACACCAATGCAGGGGTTTCCACACAGACGACTGGCTGACGCTGACCGTGTCCCTGGCATGCGGTCCTTCTCCTCCTCCGTGAGCTCACCGCCTGCTAAGCTTCCCTGCCTTCTCTTGGAGTGGCTATTGTCAAGTGGAGCCCGAGCAGACCGTTCATGCTAAAACTCCTGTTTGGTTTTTAAGAAGAAAGACTTCGGGCTTTCACCCAGACCCCTGTGGCCTCCAGAAAGTCTAGAATCCAGGAGAATTTGAAATTCTGCTCTCCATTGACCAGGAGGTTTCCACAGAATCTTGGCTCAAAATGGTCATGGTACTGGCTTGACTTTTGTACTCTCGCTGGTTCCTGGGCCTCTGGATCGGAAAGGATCAGCCCGGCCTCTAGGAATTGGGGCCTACAGCACATGCCATGGACGAGTGGCCTCCCAGGGGACAGAGGATTCAGGTCCCTTTTCTGAGGAGACCTGGCCTCGGGCAGGTCAGACCCACCATCAAGGAGGAACAACCAGGTTAAGGGACACACAGTATCCCTATATGGGCACCACTGTGACCCTCGCCCTCCCCCTCTGATCTTCCCGGCCAATGCCAAGGTCCTTCTTCCCACACACTCTGAATAACCAACTGCGACACCTGCCTGGCAGAGCACAGGACCAGGCACCCAACAGACACCAGTCACAATGACCATCTCCCCTACCTAGGCCCGTCCAGCGATTCTAATCTCATCTGCCTAGCTTTCCACCCAGAACCATTCGGTGATAACCTACCTGCTGGGTCCCGTGCCGGGAGACTGGGCTCTGGCCTCACCGGTTTATGGAGGGTTTACCGGTCCACCAAATCCTTGGCTTAAGAGAGTCAAACGGGGACTCAGCCCACCCCCACCCCGCCACCATCATCTACCTTGTCAGCCAGTCAGTCAGTCCTCCTTGGAGTCTACCTCATCCCTCACCTCCAACTAGTCAATCAGTTTGAACCTGCATCTTAGTTAGACCTCATCACCTCCCGCCTCTTCTGTGGCCTTCCTGCCACCCCCACATACACCAGCACCACCCTGCAGCTTACAGAAACGCCAATCTGATCACATGCCGCCATAAGCTTTGTTTGCAGCTTCATTCCACAGTTGGCACTCGGACGCTTCCTGGATGAACGGCTGACGGACACATGGACGTTGCTTCTCTGTGTAAGAACCTTCACTGGCTTGTATCGATCGCTTGGCAGGCTGAGTCTACAGTGCAAGCCTGACGGTCATCTGCCCCAGCTTAAACTCTGCAACCCGATTCCCTGCCGACTCCAGTCCACTCACGGGGAGCTTCTAGCAGAAAGAACGCAGGGACAGTGTGTGGGAAGCAGATAACGGGAAGGGGGTATATATGGATGAATCCTCTATTCTCATTTATTAAGAAGCCTGGCAGTCTGGGTTTCCGGGGTGGAGGGAGGCCTTCACTTTCATGAGTTGAAGACGAGTCCCAATCACATCCTCATAATTAATACTATATCCTCCCATAATAGTGCTACCTGAAAGTTACCTCTTACAAGCACTTGGCTGATTGCTATGTAACTAACTGGCAGCTTTATCTGTAGGAGCAGACTAGTGCCATTGCTCTCTAGGCTCCGAGGACCGCCACTCCCCTTAGCTGCCCCAGGCACTGGTGTTAGGTTACTCCTCTATAGTACTCTGGGACCTTTAGGGTTAGGGTACAGCCACTTTGTTACCTCGGTGGTTACCTGTAATTAAGGGGGCTTGCATGCCCCCTGAGTGTATATAATAAGCCTTGGTTGGAAACATATTCTCTCTCTCTCTGCACGGACCTGGCTCCTGAAGTCATGGCAGTCCCCCAGGTGAGCATTCACCTGCTTTATCTTGTCTGAGGTCTCTTTAATTTTACTCCTCAATTACACAACCGCCCCTGGGACCCTTTCTTGTGGGGGCTGGTACCCCACAA